CGTGGTGTCGCGGTGGGTGCGTGTGTGTGTGTGTGTATGCGTGCTCGGCGCCGGTGTGTGTTTTGTGTGTGTGTAGTATGTGTGGTCTGTGTGGGCCTGTGTGGGATGTGCTGCGATAGATGTGTGTGTGCGTGTGCGTGGAGTGATGTGTGGTAGTGCGTGCGTGGTGCGTGGCGTTTGGTGCGTGGTGTGGAGAGCTTCGACGGGGCGGGGGTGTGTGTGGAAAGGTATACGTTTGTGGTGGCGGTCCGCTGTGCGCGCGCAGTGTGTGTGCGCTGCCGTGCGCGTGGTGCGTGTGTGTGCATGTCGGGCGTGTGCGTGCCTGTGCTGTTGCGGTCTCGCCGTGCGGCGTACGTCGTGTGTGTGGGGCAGTATATCACGCGTACCATGTATCTACATCTAATCGTAAATATTAATTATTCTTATAATAATAATTATAATAATATTAATTTTCTCGCATAAACGTCTTTACGTCTTTAAACATCTTTAACATTATTACTACAATGACCGCTATGTGCAAACACCGTAGCCCCAGTAATACGAGCTGAGCTCATGCATATATTTATGTCGTCCAACTTATCGCCGATGGATGCATATCCGTATTTGACTAGCCGGAAGTAGTACATCGCGAATACTGCCGCTTCCGGTTCGAATTGTCGTCATAGACGCTGCGAAAAAGTTGCAGTGCAGAAAAATTCGCGTTTTAAACGCTCAGAGTTTATGTTAACGCGATGAGAACCGATCGCAGTACGAACAATATGCCGGATGAGTGATGCTCAGATGTTAGAATTGGGGGAAGGGTAGCGCTAGCCATTTACAATACATAATAGATATCATATAACATATGTTATATAACATATGTTATATGATATCTATGCAATACATACTGTAACAATATGCACCACGTGACTCATCATTGTGGGTGATACTCCATTAGGAGTGTTCCCAACTTTAATGTCATTAATGGTTAGGGTTAGGGTTAGGGTTAGGTTATAGGTTAGGTTAGGGTTAGGGTTAGGTCTACATATAACGTATAACTACATATAACGACACTAATTAGGTCACGACACTAATTAGGTCACGCCAGTATTGATATCAAAGTTGGAAACGCTCCTAATGGAGTGTTAGCCATTATTGGCTTGTGCTGCCACATACTTTGTTATATAGTTGAGCAGATCGCAAGCTCGCTCTCTGTTACCGCGTGTCGTTGGGTTATACGCTATCATAAATATAGAACAATAGATATAGAATAGATATAGAATAATAGATATAGAATAGATATAGAATAGATATAGAATATGTATTCTACATCTATGACACCATCTCCGTCGAGTAGAGAGTAGAATAAACATGCAATACAGTGTAACACGAACCGTTCGTCTAACTGTAATACTTGCCCGAGAGTCACAGAAGTGATACACATACATGTAATCAGGTCATTGCACCCGAGTTTATTATAGCGGTGGAATTATTCGACTACAAATCCCCATGCGTGTCCCCTGATGTAATGTGAGTTATCGCTTTAGGAAATATAGCTGATAACAGGTGCACGTAACAGTGCATGAATGTGCTATAACAAGAAATGTGAGGTCTAACTCTTGTTCTATTTAAAACGCACAGCAGTTTCCTATCGAAATTGTTTCAATAAAATGTATATTTAATTTGAAATCTGTTTATTTATTCGTTCATTTGACTCTGAGGGCTGTTTTAACACGTTATAACTTCTAATTTACTAACTAGTGTCTCACTTTTAAGCATTTTCTACGTTTTTTATTTTATTATATACTGGAGCTCTCTCTCTCTCTCTCTCTCTCTCTTATTAACAAAATAGAAACATTTAGTTGTTGAAATCTAGTGTTGATCTGTCAATTTGATTGTTAATATCTCTCTCTTGTTTCTCCCCCCTCTCTCTCTCCCTCTCTCTCCTTCTCTCTCCCTCTCTCTCTCTCTCCCTCCTCTTTCTCTATCGCTCTCTCTCTCCCTCTCTCTCTCTCTCTCTCTCCCTCCTCTCTCTCTCTATCGCTCTCTCGCTCTTTCTTCACCCCTCTCTCTCTCTCTTTCCCTCCTTCTCTCCCCTCTCTCTCTCCATCTCTCTCCGTCGCTCTCCCTCTCTCTCTCTCTCTATCTCTCTCTCTTATTTTCAAAATAGAAACATTTTGTTGTTGAAATCTAGTGTTGATCTGTCAATTTGATTGTTAATCTCTCTCTCTTGTTTCTCCCCCCCCCCTCTCTCTCTCCCTCTCTCTCCCCCCCTCTCTCTCCCCCTCTCTCTCCCCTCTTCTAAAACTAGCAGACCATCCCGCTGAGCCCCGCCTGTGAAGACGTGCGCCGGGCCCCGAATTGTGGCGAACGTCTTTACTGAGGGCAGACAGCGCTTCAATTCTTCATTCTTTGAAACATCCGGCCGGGTCGCGATGCGCATATGCCCGCGGACCTGCGCGTCTCATGCGCGCCGCGGCAAGCGCTTAAGGATCAACAGCAAGCTGTGGCCACGCAATCTGTCGTGATCATGTCTCTCTTGGTTAGCGGCATTGAGCATGCACATTGCACATTTGCAGGTTTTATAACAAGTTATACCACGTATCACAATTTCCCATCTTTTATTGCTTTGTACAATGTATTTTAGAGGTATAATACATTCCATCCTTGTTTATATATGTAGTTAAACGTGGCATTAAACATAAATTAATTATAATCTGCTTTGCAAGTTACATGTAGTGTCCGAGTGGTTGCATTTCTGTTCTATTAGAGATTACAATCCAGGGAGCCAGAAAAGACATCGCAAAAAGTAAATGAATCCCAGCAATGAATAATCATGACTACATGTAGTAAACAGTCCAAAAACAAAAACACACGGCAGAACTGCGTCGATCGTTCAGTACAGAAAAACGAAACCAGGTCAACGTCATCACATTGCAAGTAGGCAACTCATCCTACAAAATATCAAGCAGATGTAGTATCGCGTATGCGGAGGATCTCGCACTCCCCCGAGTGCCTTCTTCTCCCTTAGTTTCGGTTTTTGCGTCACGTTTCGATCGTGACGTCAACAATTACTGTGTGTTACGTCACGTAACACATGTTATAAAGTCGCGTAAAT